GCTTTAGAGCCTTAAAATTCCAACAAGCTAAATGGAGGAAAATCTGGAAAAATAATCGGCTTTATGCACTCATCTTATTCTTTTGTGGGATTTCACATATATGGAGAGTTGGAGAAGGCAGAGGAATTGGTTCGGTAAAAACCGATATATGGGATTTCGCGGTTGGAGAAGGCAAGAGGATTGCTAGGGTTCCAACAATGTAAAAAGCGAGTGGTAGACAGCAAATTTCCATATTGATGCTTTATACGAAACGACGTCGTTTTTGGTAACATCATGAGGATTCGACAAGTGGCGGAAAAAAACTGCCTCTTTTATGTAGTTAGGATATACAACACAGACAAATGAACAGAAAAGGAAAAATATGGAATTGGGTAATTCACTTCTTTAGAGGAAATACAAAAACAACGAGAGACAAGGACCACTGTTTTATATCTCACTAGACATTGGCATACACATATATTATAACAGCTAAGCAAAGATTTTGAAAACTGCTTAGGGAAAAGGGGGGAGGGGGTGCACAGATATCAATATGCATTTTTGCAGCCTAGAGCCAACAGCTATATGAATGCAAATATGAACACAAACTGAAAATAAGAAAGGTCCAAGTGCATGATGTGAAAGGACACAGCCTATGGCAGAATCATCATATAAAAGTATCTTCAGATTTATTTATTTTTTTGTACTAAAATAAAAGAAACATTTTGAGAAAGTTACATACGCTATCCCTTGAGCAAGAGTCATGGCAACTTTCATTCTCATGGACCAATCCAAACTCCTAGCCCCTCTAGGAATATGATGTAGCCATCTATCTAAAGGTCCATCCACAATAAACTCGTATACAATGTAACGATCACCATGATCATAGCAACACCCTTTAATAGCAACCAGATTTGGATGATGGAGTCTTGCAACCCTTCCTATCTCAGAATAGAACTCTTTTTTCCTCTGAAAGCTAGATCTCTTCAGCCTTTTAACTGCCACCCTTGATCCATCTAGCAAAAGACCACTATATGTGCCCCCCGTTTTGGCATCCCCAAGAAGACGGTTTCCTTCACTGAAATTCTTTGTAATTGACTTCAGTTCCTCACGTGTAAAAACTTTCCATGATGACAGAACTAATGCCAATTCTGCTGGAGTAGATAGCTTGCGAGATCTTTTACGCCTTTTATTACGTCTATACACAAGGAGCCATATCACAACAGCTAGAGTACTGCAGAGTATCAAGCCACTCACAACAGCAAGAATGACAAGATATTCCCTGTGGCAGTGCATATGATGACATTTGTTCTCTGAAATCTCAAAATGATGCAAAATTTTGAATCAAATATTACAGGTGACAGAACTGCTGAAAGGAAATTACAAGTGAAATTGCAAAAAGACAAGTACAGATAAGAGAGTATAGATAAAAAGAACAACTTGCTACAACTTAATGGAATCACATACCTACGTCAAGCATGCATATGAAGGCATATGACAAATTACATCTCTGACCCATAGGATAAATAGCACTGTTGATCATTAATGTGCATATTTCTGTTTTATTTCCACCATAGCAAGACAGATTGGAGCAACCTGAATGGATTGGCATGCTAGGAGTGATAGATCCATTCCAGAATGTATCATCAGACCATTTCCAACCCAAACCGGGTGTACCATTTATGCCTCTCCCACCAACCCAGCATCCATTTACATTCTCACTGCATAACTTCTGGATAAAACTGAGTTCTTGCAAAGAGGCCGCTGCTGCCAGGTGTCCATTGTCAGCCTTGCACTGGGTCTCTGACTCATCCCATGATCGATTGGTTGAAATATATTTAAAACACTTACTATTGCTAGGATTACTAATCCAGCCAGAAGGGCATGAAGCTGCTCATAGAAAAAAGCAAAAATTTCATTTATCGGAGAGAGGAGGAGGAGGGAAGGGATGTAGAGAGGGAACATTTTCATATCACTAACAAAGAAACTACTCTAACAAAAATACTACATGTTAAGGGCAATCCCATTCTCCCATCAACCATAATTCAACAACAACAACAAAATTAGAGTGACCAAACTTGATTGATGATGATAGGGGAAATGGAAAATACCAGAAGGTCCTCGGCCACACTAATCATTGTAAAACCAACCACAGAACCATGGAAGTGCTTGATGAGGAAAATTTCTATAAACATACGGGAAAGCACCAAAATCTGGGGGCCAGTCCGAAGGAAATACCAATTTTTCCATTAAATCTAAATGTTCAATTCTCGTGAGCAAGCACAAAGGCCCTTTCTCAAGGCAACTATTTGGATATACATAATTAGTTGAAAGCTGCTTCCTATTACAGAGCAAGATGAAGAAAGAGTCTTCTTCTGAAGGGGAGACAATAAGGGTGCAGAAAGTTTCAACTAAAGTTCAGCACTTCAGTTGAAATTTCTACCATGATAATTCCCAGGGAAAATTATGTAACAATATGTT